AAAATATATATATATATAAAATATATATATATATATATAAATATTAGTTAAATATAATATTAGTTAAAAAAATATTTTCTTCGAAAATAAGTAAAAATTTACTTGACTTAAATTTTAAATTAAATAAATTTCATAAATGTAATAAAAAGTGGGAGATATGTGTTAAAAATGTTAAAATTAGAAACATAAAATAAAATTGAATGAGAATTATATGTATATTTATATATTTTCTATTTGTTTTTGAAGTGTTGAATCAATTCCCAAAATATTTCTTACTTGTTACTTGTATATATATATACAATGGTATCAATTCATGATAAAATCCAAGAGAGGATGATTTTTTATATAAAAAATATAAAGTAAAATTTCCATATGAAATCCTATTTAAAAATATATTGTAAACAAACTATCGTATTATAGATTCATTTTTAAATCATGAATCATCCCCTTTTCGGTTCTATCATATTTCATAGATATTTTGAATTTCTCTTTCGTATATTTCCCATTTACATCAAACAACTATTCTTCATATATGAAATATTACCGAATATAAATTAATTCTCGTAATTATTTACGCAATTCTGTTTCGTTCTGTTTGATTGCAGTTGATTTCGATATTTATCGGGCATAATGATTTTTGTACCGAAATATGTGCAGTTCCCTCTCCATGGTCCATTGTGGAAAATCATAAAATCCAATTAGTCGAAACTCTTCGAATATTAAGAGACAATTTGCCAAGGACGTTTATTGCCATTCAATTACCGCCTCATTTAAAAGTACTCGTCGCTTCACGCAAGGGAAGAAACTCGTTGAAATGCTACGTAACGACAATGATCGAATGCTCGTGCCTGTTTGCTTTGCAATTCCAAGATTGGAGGCAGGAATATTATAAAGTAATAGCAAGGTATGATTTAAATTCCAAGAATTAATGTTTTTTTTTCTCTCTCTCATTTGTAAATTGACTCATTAACAATGGGTCGATACGTTTCAGAAAATTATTCACGACCCTAAAATTTTATAAAACTCGTAACAATTTTTCATATCGTATTTAATCAAGTTTTAAAGCAGGTTTTTCGAAGGATAACTAGAATAACAATTCGTTTGAGAATTTCTTTTATTGGAAAGAAAGCCTTGAGACTCTTCCAAACGTCTCTCCTCGACCTCAGAAATAATGTTCGATAAACACGAAAGGAGTGAAAATGGCCGAAATTCTGTGAATTAATTTTCGAGAAAAAACGAAAGTCATTAATTATTTAAAACGATATATTAATTAATTTTAATAAAAAACGAACCAATGGATAAAATTCGAAATGGAATAAGATCAACGAAATATCATCAATCATAACCAGTTTTTTGTCAGCGATAATTGTGCAATAATATCAGATTATAATTATTTCAAGGAGACATCAAAGTATATTGAAACAGAATCATTGAAAATGCATCGACAACGTGCAATCTCTCTCTCAATATTTAGACTAATTATTACCATTAATTCTTGATGTAGGAACGAAGTGAAATTTGACATAGCAAAAAATATATATATAATTATTTTTCAATTTAACATTTGGAAATTAAACTGTTGAATCAGAGATGTCAATACTCGCAATGGCTTCAGGAACATATATAACATATCTTTGACAATTCTAATAAGAATTTAATTAATTTGCATTTTTTCTTCTATAATTTTGTACATTCATTTTTTTTTTTTTGAATAATTTTTTCAAAAGATGAAAATATATGGTATCATATGTTTCAGATGGCAAGAATTAGAGGAGGAAATCGCCGATTATCCAGAATTTCATAGAAATGATTTCACTATAGTCGCTTTACCATTTCTCAAAAATGCTGCGCTTCCATTGGCTGACGATGGAAATTATGATTTATCATACTTATCCCCTGATTGCTTTCATTTAAACCAGAAAAGTAATGCACAAAGTGAGTACATCCCAGATTTAATCGTATAGCGTGTCTAATTTTAATTTATAAGTGAGAATTGCTCGTGAATAAAAAAAATATTCAACAATTTAATGATAAATAATAATAAATAAATGATAGGAATAATATAAAGATAATATATGTATTTTTTAAATAAGAAAAATATTATCTAATAATAAAAAAAAAACATATGTACGTATATGATTTTCTTTATTTATTCATATCCTATAAAAAAATTATAAATTTATACAAATTATATAAAATTATCTAAATTATTTATTTATACAGTTCACGAGTAATTCTGATTTATAGATTAAAAAATTTGACACCATGTATATATAGTTCAATTACTTTTTTGTTAGCATTCGAACAAAAAAAAAAAATTGTTGTTGTGTTTCAAGTTGCGAATACTTTATGGAACAATTTGTTAGAACCCGTTGGTAACAAATCTACCTCTTGGACACCGATATTTGAAAGATTTTTGTGTCCTACTCCTGAAAGACCATTCCTGATGACGCGTGAAAATTCGAAACAAAAATAAAAAAATTTTTCTTTCTACGATATCCATCGACTTTAATTATAAATGTTAAAATCTAGATGTGATAAAATCGTGCCATTCTAGTTAACAATCTAATAATGTAATATTATTTTTATTATTGTTATTATTGAAATTTATTCGGTTATAAATAAAATTATTTCCAATTACTGATTTCTCACATTTTTTGTTGCAATATCAAATATTTATTTTAATTTATATAATAAAATTAAACGTTTTTTTCAGCATCTTTATTTTTTTCGTTACAATCTTTATGAAAGTATACCACTATCCTAATCTAGCTTATCATATATCTTAATCAAAAATACATATTCGATAGATTCATTTTGTGTTCATTAAACATTCATATAAAAATAGAAATCTGATTTTTAATCTACTTTCGTTTATTTAGCATGGATTTTTTTTTTTTTTAATTATGCAATTATAGATAGATAGATAGATTTCTTCAACAATTTCTTCAAAATCATAGTTTAATATTTATCACAAATATTGTGATATTGACATAAAAGATATGGATAGAAAATACCCATTTTATATATAAATGTTTAATCGTACAATTTAAAGACAATATCTCAATCATTAATATATGAAAATAAGATAGTGATATATATTTATTCTGGTCTTAAATCAATTGCAATAATTTATTTATTTCCTAATATATATTAAGATAGGTGAAGATTGATACACGTTTTTTTTAAAATTGAAATTTATTCGAGAATGCAAAATAAGTAAATGGCACATTTAAAGAACATTTTGTGAAAATTTGCATATTTTTTAATAATTTAAGCGTTTTTTAAAAGTGTTATTTTCTTTTTTCTTTTTCCTTTTTTTTTCTTTTTACATTTAATAAACATCTAGTGACAATTTTTAATTTCCGAATAATTTTAAAATATTTTTCAATTTTTTCTTTGCATTGAAATTTATTAAAGAATTATTTTTTTTTATTATTTAATTTATTAAAGATTATTATTTTTTTTATATTTATTATTTCTTCCTGAATTGATAAAAAATGAAAAGCAGTACTCATCTTAACAAATAAAGATTAAATAATTAAAATCTTTTCAGAAAAAATTTTGTAAACCAGAATTATTACCTACTTTAATGAATCTTTGACAAAATTTTTAAATGAATACAAAATCACTGACACAAAGACAAAACTTTTCACCAAAAATTTTCATCCTAAAAAAAATTAAAATACATTAATTATTTACCAATTATTCAACTCGAATGTTAATGTGAATTGAATATGACTATCATCAATAATGCCTTCTTTGATTAACGATAAATTAAGAATATCATAAAATATATCATAAAGCCTCGCGATATATCAATTCATATCTAAAATAAAAAACAGTTTCTTCATAAATAAATAACATCTTATTGACATCGTTCCACGATATTAATATCACCACTCTAAATTGGCAATGTGAATGGTGGCAAGACTTTGGCCTCACCACTCTTACTCACGTACGATTACTACCGTAAAAGAATACGAAACGAAAGAACTCAAGTGTTTCGTTTAGTAGAAAAGTAAGTAGAGGGGTTATCGATAGATATGTGTACGTTTCTTCGACTGTCTTCATTCATGTTCTGTTCCATCTTCTGTCGGTGTCACTAAGATTAATTTTATAGTGCCATTTTCTCTTTTTATATTTATATATAAATACATTGATTCGTTATTATTTTTCACGAAAAAAAAAAAAAATAAAAAGCAGCGAAGAAGTGCTTGATAAAAATTGCTAAATAAATAAAAATGATGTATTTCTTTCTCATCAAAAGTTTGAATAAAAATAATGTATGGTGCAAAATTGAGTGTTCACAAATTAGGATATAAATGAAAATGAAGTATCGTTGATTTGAATGATGTGACAAGTGGTTCTCGATGATATGACAGCAACGCATTATTGTTGATGTGCTGAGAAGTTTCCAAACGCTATTTATTAGTTGCATTTCTCGTTAATTTGTAAGTAAAATGTAACTAAAATCAATTCTTCTTTCTTCGAATATAATTCACTCATCACACGATTTACATAATTCATTCATACGGTATATGTGATTACGAATATTTTTAAAATTCTTGAATGAAATTTGCATACTCAAACAATATATACGACACGCGAAAATTTATGCCTAAAAGATCGTTTTAAAGCCTTCTGCCTTCATAAGTAAGTAGTCATTATTTTTTTCATATAATCAATTTTCTATCAATTTTCTATCAAAATACTACACAGTACTTTTCATTCTCATTCAACAAAAATTAACTCTCTCTCAAATGCGACGAGTACATTCCTCATATAATATTCCAAAAAGAAAAAGAAAAATCTTTCTCAAAAATTTTCTCGACGATTCCTACAAAAAGAAAAAAAGGTGAAATTCAACAAAATTTCCTATGAGTGAATCTCACTTTCTATTTTATTCTTATTACTTTCTATTATTCTTATTAATTTTATCTAGATTTCGTATTACGATTTATTTACACTTATTATATTTACAAAAGTTATATGAACAAAAATCAACAATACGTACAATTTCCAATTTCAAAATTTTCTCCTTTCAAAAAATTCGATCGCACGAAATGTGACAAGAAAAAAGAGAAGAAGAAGAAGAAGAAGAAGAAGAAGAAAAAATATTCGATCGACAGGCACGAGGACAAATGAAGCACACATTAAGTTAAGTTAAGTTGTGATGGCCGGCGAAAGTTAACGCGCGTTTCCGTTTCAATTTGAGATAATACCGTTCGAACGGTGTTGCTGTTCTATCCCCATTGTTGCTCGTGGGGCTATCGATCCATCGAATTTCGCGAACTGCTACTTCGTACAAGAATAATGGAAAGTTTATACGCGGCATGCATTCGAAATTATTATTCAAGCTCGAGCTTCAACTTCCGACCACATCTTTGAAAAGGTGTGTCGTTGAAGTGTCGTTCATTTCGAGTAGAGATTAGAAAATCCGGTAGGAAAGAAGGTTGAATGTTGTGCAAACATTCGGGATATCGAAGCGAAGTGAATGATTTGCATAATTCGATCTTAATTTTTTTGCGGCAAGGATGCGAATTATTGCACGTTATATACATCGAGAGATACTTGGAACGGGGTGAAAAAAAAGGAAAAAGTTGTAAAGGCAATTTTTTTATTTACAAACAATGGAACTGTGCGTGAAAGCGACGAAATTACAACACATCTTTTTCTTCTGGGATTCTTTCGTTCTGGTAATTTCGCGACACGCTGTTTTCTAATGTACTATTGAAAATGTTAATCGAGTATATGAATACTTTTATGGTTTTCTCATAACACGAGCCACGATTATTAAATTTAAATGATAATTTTTGAATTCAAACGGTATTTAAATTTAAATGTATACAATTTATAATTATTCAAATTAATCTCTTCTCGTTTAAGCTTTAAAACGATTTTTATAAATTTATTTATTATTATTTAGAAACTTTTACTCGCGTATGTTTCGCATGAATTTTTATACTTTTCCACGGAATCTTACCATAAAAAGTAAAATTTATAGCGTGAAAAGTGGGAAAAAAGAATTCGGGTCGGATATTTTAATGATTCTCCAATAAATCGTGTGAAATGTCAAAATTTAAAATTGAAAATAAAACAAAAATCTGGAACAATAACAATAAACAATATTTTCATTTTTATTTAATTTCTCTCTTATCTATATCAGAAATATGTAAATTTTTCTAATCTTTTTTTTTTTTTCTTTGTGTTGATTTACTAAGATTTGAAGATTTACATAAATTGAAATATCGGAGAAAGATATAAAATAAATTTTAATTTTATTCCATCAAAAAAATTATATTATAATAGTAGAAAAAAAATTCTCTCTTTTTTAGATTCTACAATTTTTTTCTCTTCTTTTTTTTTTTTTCTTTTTTTTTTAATGCCTAATCTACAAATGAGAAATTCTGTCATGCTATAAAATAAATTTTGCAATTCCTCTTAATGAGGTATCGTATTACTTAAAGCCGTCTACATATCTACATTATACGTGAATTAAATATGTTTTATTTATGACTTACATAATATCAATTATATATTTCTAGAATTTGTACGCGACATATACAAGATTGATACAAAATTCCGGTTATTACGATAACGATTTCTGGTACTGATAAAAAAATTAACGACAGGCATAAATTATGAAAAATACACGTATAATATATTACTTCAAGAATTCAACGACAAATCAAACGAAAATAAAAAAGAAAAGAATTTAAAGAAAAAATCTATAACGAAATATTCTTCATCGATCAATGGCACAGAAACAAACAGTAATGTAATTAAGTAGATAAATAAACGCAAAGAAAATCACGATTGTAATTTTATTAAAAAAGGAAAAAGTTTAACAATTTTTCTAGACAAAGAACACAAGTGCTTGCTTCATTACATTCATTTATTCGAATATACAATCTGTTGCACAAACACAACTCATTGACTGTTGAGAGATCGTTAAGAGAGATAAGAATATCAATTATCCTGGATGGGCGTGCGCGTGCGTAGAAAAATAATGGCAAATAAAATTTACAGTGCTGTTTGGCGGTCATGGCAGGGCATCGTTGAGGAAAGCTCACGTTCAAGGTTTTCGGCGATACAGAAAAAAAATCGCATCGATACGACGAGGAAAGAGGAGAAAGTTTCGTTGGAATAAATCTTGAGCAACGATAAATCTTGGAAGAAAGCTTCGAGAAAAGTTCAACGATTTTTTTAAAAAAAAATTTTCATCCGACTCGTCCTAACGATGAGAATCGAAACGATGCGACTGTCGTTAATCTTGATCTTATTGCCCGCTGTCACAGGTTCGCTCAAGGACTTGGTGCGAAGCATATTTCAATCAGGAAGGGTGAGTCTTTTGGGTAAGAGCGTTATTTGAATAATTCTCGTTTCGTTAACCTTTCATATTGTACATACATGCACATATATTTTACTAATTTTATTACTAATAAATACACATAAATATTAACAAATAGTTTTAATAGTAACAAACTAGAATTCTCATTGACAGATAAGATGTTCTGTAACAATCACAAAATTGAATTTTCCTCCTTAAATTTTCGATAAATATTTCAATGAAAACGATTTCAAAAATATCGATCATTTTCGATTCCTTGAGAACACCTAATCGAAAAATCAAATTGATGCTCGAAGAAACGAGTTTCAATCGAGGAAAAATATATTGCATCACTCGTTAATTAAATTATTCCACGAAATATATGTCGCTCTCGGTGATCAAGACGTTCGTTTCATTTCCATTTCTCTTTCGATCGTGCTGAACGGCATTACGTTAACGCGAAATTACTATATTATACGGAACAGTGGACGGACGTAGAAGTGAAAAAAGTTTGGTTTGCATGCCGAGAGGAATGGGAGAAAGGCCGGCACTTTTCTTTTCGTTGAGATCCGCGAGACGATCCCGTTCAGTCGGCCCACTTCGGTGCACGATTAAATTATTTGCGATGGTATTTAAGCCACGCGAGACGGCTGAATGCAAATGAAAGAAAGCAAACGTGGCGACGTGCACCGCGTGTTAAATCGGCGCGCGTTGGTTAACGATAAAGGACGAGGCGGCCAAGGATTCGTATTCCGGCGAAGCTGAACGGTGATTGTTGACCGGAAGAAGAAGATGAAGGATGGAATTCCGATGGAACGGTGTGTTGTGCTTGTGTGCGATATACCGTGGACGTCGAGGAGTGAAGAGTAAAACTTTTAACAAATTTGAACAAGTATACAACACGTGGTATAAAAAAAGAGAATGACGACGAGGAATAAAATTTTAATGAAATTAAACAGCATTTGTTTGTACTGTGGATACAATAATTCTTCGAAAGGGAATTACGATGAGGAATAAAATTCTGATGAAATAGCATCGTGCTCGATACCAGATACCAGATGAAAAGATTAATTATGAAAAACGAAAAGCCAATATTTTAAATGAAACAAGTGGTGTGAAATCTTATATTGACCACTTAATATATGTACAATGTACATATATTACTTGTGCTAACAAAAAATGAAAGCTAGAGAATTAATATATATATGTGTTTTATGTTAAAAAAAGAAAGCAAAAAGGCCTCTCTAAGAAAATTGCTGATTAAACAAAGGCTGATTGTATTTAGCATTTAAATTTTTGTTTAATATTAAGACTAACAACTAATATCCAATTTTCAGTATTAGGTAAAATAAAATTCAAATAAAGAAACTTTCTGCAAAATAATTATAATATATTGTTTAAATCTATGTTACGAACGTATTAAAAACAAATTATTATAAAAATGATAATTTTTTTTTTTTTAGATTGATGTCGACAAAAAAGGAATTACGTATCCTGTATTGTATAGTGGCATAAGAAATCAGCCTCGTATTCCTGATTACATCCCATTTCCGTGTAATGTAAAATTTGGAAGGTAGTATAATGATACTTGATGATATTGAAATTGACAATATTTAGTGATTTATCAAATATATTTTTAAAATTCTTTTGAAAAAAGAATTGTAAAATCTGTAATTCCTGTTCTTTCATCAGATCACCAACAACGCCTGACAACGTGCATCGTTTAAGACCTGGCGACATAGATGTGATCGGTAGTCTAGGCGATTCATTGGTCGCAGGAAGTGGAGCTCTCGAGGACTACGCAATAGGAACGTTTATAGAAGCACGTGGTGTTAGCTGGTGCATAGGTGGTCAAGGTGACTGGAGACAATTCTTAACTCTTCCTAATTTGTTAAAGGTATATTTTCCTTTTTTCTTCTTTTCTTAAATTCAATTTTAATTATTAATTTATAAAAAGACTTATTTCAGAAATATTTTTATATATAAGTTTCTTCGTCTTATGAATTTTATTTGTAATTCTATTTGTTATTATTGTTATTATTCAACTATAGAATTGCATTGTATTATTATTCTATTACATCAGGTGTTCAATCCCAATTTAATCGGATATTCAACGGGTACAGGTGAATTTATTTCAACGAATGCGAAACTAAATATTGCCTTCCCCGTCGCGGCCACGGAGGATGCATTTCAACAAGCTCGAATTCTCGTTCAAAGGATCAAAAGCAATCCAAAGATAAATGTGAAGAAGCAATGGAAGGTACTTATCACTGTTATTGTGAAATTTCACAATAATTAGAAATGCAAGATGAATCATTGGAATGTATCTACGAATTACAGCTAATTACAATTTTTTTTGGCGCAAATGATATTTGCTCGGCACAATGCTTCAATCCTGAACACTTTTCGCCCCTTCGATACGCTCATCATTTACGAAGAACGTTGGATTACTTGAAATTTGTTCTACCCCGTACATTGGTCAATGTTGTACCGGCTATAGGTAATATTTAGAATTGAAACGCTTGAAAAAGACATTTATATGTTATTCGTGTATCTTATGAATGTCGTTTTGAACACTCGGTAATTAAATTGTTCCAATTTGTATGCAGATGTTACGGTTTCCGTTAGAATACCACGAAGTCCCATATGTCGCATATTGCACACGTTTTACTGCGCTTGCTTGCACAAAGGTAATCGACCAGACATCGAAGCTTCGAAAATGTCGCATCTTTATCAACAAGCAATCGAAGCTTTAATATATTCAGGAAGGTATGTTTTTCTGTGATAAATAATTAAGTATAATTAAGTTGATAAGATAGATTATAGAAAATAAATATTAAAATAAAAAAAATATATATATATAATACAAAATTGTGTATAATATATCATTTTATTTGGTAGGATTTTATCTTTATTTCAGATATGACAAATCTTCGGATTTCACAGTGGTATTGCAACCATTCAGTAAATTATTTAATGCACCAAACGCAGATCCAAGGAGGGCTCAATCAATTGACCCCAGTCTGATAACGTATGACTGTTTTCATTTTAGCCAAAAGGGACATGCATTAGGTAAGAACATGAATAATAAAATTAATAGATTTTAGTTTATTATATTATAATATATAAATTAGCTTTATTAATTATTATGGAATTATGGAATAAAATATATATATTTTTGCATATTCTCGTATTGCTTGCATATATTTTCTTTTTTCTACTCAAGAATATTAAGTTTTGAATAAATCAAGTGTTCATTTAATTAGATTCGAGTATTTAAATACAAGTATACTGATAAATCTTTAATTATTTGAATATCCAATATTCAAAATAATTAATATGTTTATTATAATATAATAATTATATTCGATGTTTTTAAAATTTGAGTACGCGGGTATCTATATGATGAGAACTCTAAAAAATAAAATTAATTATATATTATTTTATATTAGATTTAGTTATCCTTCGCAATTCCAATTCAAAAATAAGTCCTATATCAAATCTGCAATCTATAAATTAATGAAAATTATAATTAATCTTATATCAAAAACATAATTGATTATAATTACTTGATTTATAGTGTTACGATTCTTTTTACTTCAATAGTACTATCTCATTCTAATCTCTATCGATAATGTCATATTTTACTTGATCGATATATTTAATTAGAATTCCTGTTGTCCCGATAATGCTGTTATTTAATTTAAATCGATAATATCGCATATGACATTACCATCACTACACTTAATTACAATTCCTCTCATCTCAATAGCGCTGCTATCTCATTCTATTTTAAAACGAATATATATCACATGTGACATAACTTTTGATTCCACGAATTTCTAAAGTACAAAAACTACAACTAATAGTATTTTCAGGTTCTATTAATGAAATCTATCAATTGATAAGAAAATATTATACTTTAAATTATACTTAGATATTTTAGATAAAAAAATTTTTCAATTATTAAATAAATAATTTATAAACTTATTCAATGAAATGCAGTAAATGCATTAATAATAAAATCTTGTAAATATTATCTTATATTACAACTTTAAACATTCATTTCTGACTTGTTTATTCTCCGAAAAATTCTCTGAAAAATAATTCCGAATAATTGACATTTTAAAAGTTTATATTGCCATTATGAGTCTTCTACGTCATTCGTCTTAAACGAAAGAACAAATCAGTTAACGACGGGTATAGCAAAGTCAAGTAGTTAAACTTTTTGTAAGAGAAGTTAATCAGAAGTCACATACATGCACGCACACGCATATGGAATGGCTTGACAATGAGACAATATATCTTATGTCCGTTCGATGTCTGCTACGTAATAAGACTGAACGAATAATCGTGTTTTTGCAACGTACTGATGCAAATAATTAATGGAAATTGCAATACACAAATTAACTTAAACATAATTTAATATAGCTTATAGTAAATTTTTAAAATGTTTTGTTCAAATTTTTTTTTTCATTCTGATACTAGAATAAAAAAAATATATTCATAATAAATAAAAAAAATATTGGAAATAATATAAATAATTTTGAAATATATTCTTTATTGATATTGCATTCTGAATTATTTCGTATTGCAATAAGAAAAAAAATGGAAATGGAAGTAAAATTTATTTTTTATTTTATATTAAAAAAAAATGTATATTAACTTTTTATATTGATAAGAAAAACAGAGAAATTATTTAATATATCTGTTGATTTTATAAAAAAATTTAATTTTGTATTTATCTTGCATCTTGCATATTGAATATATGAATTAAATATTATTTGAATTAAATTCTATTTGATTTAACTATCGATCAATTAAATATAAGTCAATAATTGAGAAAATTGTCATTAAATTCTATTAATATAAGATAAGATAATATGAAATAAAAAACCAATCAATATTAATGAATCCAAAAAAATTACATACAAAATTATAAGAGTTAGCAGGACGAATAATCAAAACTTATTAATTTATAATAAAAAATAATAATAATAATTAGCAATAGTAAACTCGACACTTCCTGAAAATGAAAAAAAATTAAAAATTATTTCAAAATTATAAAGTGTAGTATGCATATTCTTAAAAGCTCATTATTATTCAATAAGATCTAGTCTATTTCTTCTTTATGATCTGCAATTATCAAGAGCATGCAATCGTGTATTTGCATCAGAAATTATAAATTATAAATTATGTAAAATAAATTTTACTATCTACATGTAAGTATGCATATATAGATATATGTAACTACATATATAATAAAGGAAACGTAATAAGATAAATATCATTTTGCATGTTTCTTGTCTTTCGTACATGAAGTATTTCAATTTGACGTTAAAATATAATTCCTAACAAATAAATAATTTTGCAATACAAATAATTATTAATACTGTTGTAATGTTATCTTTATATATATATATAATCTTTACTACGTGTGTCCATATTTTTTTCTACCAAACAACTTTTAAATTTATAAAAATATTTTTTTTTTTTTTTAACAATTTGAATCTCTAAGATATATATTGCTTTCACCTAATAATAACATTTAAAATACGATATTTCATCGAAAATATAACTTGGAATTTTAATTGCACTTTACTTCTAACTGAAATCCGCAGTCTTCCATCATAAATTTCGATTTTCTTCATAACGCGCAATGAAATATCATACGTTTTTTATTCGATTTCAAGGGCAAATTTATTATGAAACAATACGCTGAAACCTGTTGAACGATAAAAATACAAAATAATAATCCGCAGTCAATCAATCATAAAGTTCGATTTTCTTGATAACGCGCAATGAAATATCACTTGTTTCTAGTTCAGGGGCGAATTTCCAATAATTTGAAACCTGTTAAACGGTTTTAAAAAAATACAAAACAAGAAATCCGCGCGTATGTAATACATACATCAATATTCTATACTTCGATTAATAATATAAATTAATGATATGAAAAAATAACATTCCTGTTTAATTCAACTTCAGGGGCGAATTTATTATGGAACAACATGCTGGAACCAGTCGGGAATAAAACGGAACGAGGACTGCCACAGGTATTCGAAAGATTGTTATGCCCGAGCGAGAAGGCTCCGTACATTTTTACGAACGTGAACTCGAGACGTTTCCGATTGACAGGGCGCCAAGATGGGATTATGGCCAGATAACGTGCGTAGAAACTACGATAGCAAAATTTTCACCTGTGATAATTACCAACACGTGTTCTCGAGGAACAATTTCAACTCTCCAGATTGAAAATTTTCAATGGAAAATTTTATGTTTTTTCATGCACACAGACTTTATATCAATATATATATATAAAAAGCCGATATATTGTGTACACTATGGCTATCTCTGTTGCACATACATTACCGATCAAAGGTTTTGAATCCATCAAGCAAATCGAAGAACTTGACAAAGAAATGTATCAGATCAAGAATTTTGCTTAGTTTTTTTTTTTTTATTGTTCTTGTTATTAATATCTAGTATTATTATTAATAATAATACTAGAGAATAAGTGCAGTTATTCAGAAAAGTTATCTTATAAATAAATTTGTTATTTTTTTAATTTTGATTTTAATAATGAAATTTTGTGTACATATTATTCATGAATGTTTGATGAGAATTTTTTTTACGAACGAAGCCATTAAAAAAAATATAAAATTTTTGACCATTAAATTTTCTTTCTGAATTCTGATATGGATGAATGTTGGTCGTCCTAATTTCGAACCACTATCAAAGATGTAATGGTGTTTCCAAAGCGGTCATCCGAGTATATTAATCGATGTGACGTAGATTGACTTCGACGATCAAAGGAATCCAGTGAATCGTGATACATAGTAAAATCGTTGGCAAATTTGTTTATTCGGACAAAATCTATTAAAAATAATAAAATTTCTATTAATATTCATATCGTTAATCTCGAATTAAAATTAAAAAAACTCGTAACAAAAAATTCGATATAGCTATATTTGAATAAATTAATTCTAAACAAATCGATCGATAGTTATGTCTATAGTAATATATTCTGCGATAGTTAGAAAGTATGTCAATAATGAGCGTTTCTGAGTGAAATAGGAAAAATTAAGTTTTGTATTTTTTTTCTTTTTTATTAAAATTTTTGTCTTTCTTAAGATAAGATGACCATTAGCAATGAAAACGAATCGAAACACGGCACTGATAAGTGTCATAGCGTTCTATATAAATAAGTACTTATATTATTGATAAGGAGGGGATTATCTCGTTCGAAGTGTTAATCTCATTTCATGTAATTCGTATCTCATTCATGACTATATATTTAAAGCTATCCAATTATTGGAAAATTAAAATATGTAGAAATAAATAATGGAATAAGTAGGAAAGATAATATTATTTATTTCTGATTGATTATATTTTCATTCAAGTAAGATATAAATATAATTTAATTTATACTATCACTTGAATAATACTTATTCGTTACTTATTATTTATGTTAATAATGGGTATATGCGTAGTGATAATTTGAATTTTATTCGAATATAAGAAAGGAATAATAGTAATTTATTTCTTACTGACAAATTAATGCGTTTTCATTCAATTTACTTCGAATTAAGATATTTGCGGTGTTTTGATTTAAAGTATCATTCGAATAATACATGTTTCTTATTCATTATTTATATTATGAGCAATTTTTCTCTGTCATCTATATTTGTTAATAACATTTGACATTTTTGAAATGTTTAATTAGCGGATTATTATTTGTAACTCATTTTTACCGGATGAAAATGCAAAAGATGAATAACGTCATATTCGTAATGAAAAAAAAAAAAGAATGCAGAAAAAAAACTGATTTTAAAATTGTTTTCATCCATCGTTCCATACGTCATTTCCACTTTTTGCAAATTTACATAAGCAAATAATTATTCGTTTTCTTTTTGTAATCAAACGGTAATCATCGTGTGCTTACATGAATTCTAATTACATGAATTCCGTTCAGCGAAACGGAAAGCCATATTATCTCGCGACTTTGCGACAAATGCATAATTAAAATGCAAAAAAATATGTAACGAGAAGTAACCAGTAGCAGTTTAATAAATAAAAATTAAAATATACGACTCATCTCTTTGTTCTATTTTTTTTTTAATAAAAGAAAAAAAGGATTTCTCCGTAATATGCAAATCCTAATTTTATCTATCTTGATCTGAGCATCACATGCAGAAATATAATCATGACAGAATTGGGAAAAAATTAATAAAAGTCAATCGTTAATTAAACGTATACGATGTATGTATACTCGATCGATTTCCAAATAAATTTTTTTCAAAATCAAAACTTTCCACGAAGTTTCGTTATTCCTGATTTTTACGTCATTTCTGCGTATGGAATCTTACTTTAATTCCATTTATAAATAAATTATAATAAATTACAATAAATTATATAGACCAAACATCAATATTAATAAATGATAAGAATATTAATATGTTAAATTTATTATATTGAATGTCTATGTTTAAAAATTTGAAAACATATAGCATCTTAAAAAATGTTGCATAATATTATTCTTCATTAATTCTTTATTTCCGTTCTTTGTTTTTTATTTCCATTATTTGTCATTGTCAAAATCACATCAATAATGGACACTATGTTGCAAAATGTAAATGTAGTTGGTCCATTCGTCTTGTAGATATTTCATTTACATAAAAAAATACATTTTTGCTTCTGTATACATTGTCTTCGTGTTTTCCATAGAAAATGAGGTTTCCTTTGTTTGCTTTTTTAACAGTGAACGTCTCCTTCTCGGGATCGAAACTCTTAATGGGGTTTCCCCTTTTCACGGTCGATGACCAAAGTATGGCCTTCACGAAATTCCTTAAATTCCTCCAAATCGTGATCACGTCGTATGACAACGTTCTTCTTCGAAATAACACGTTATCGATAAATAAATCATATTTTTCAAAATTAAAATTAATAAACTCGTCTCAACTATAAAACTATAAAATGTTAAAATATTAAAAGCTGTTAATCGAATAATAAATAGAGAGAATAATTTATTACAATATATAATGAATAATTATCATTCAAACACCAAAATGGAAGGAATTTAAAAAAATTTTTAATTCTTAGAAAGATATATCTGTTTATATATTTTCATCTATTGTGTGTATATTTAATAGAAAAAAATAATAAAAAGTGCATTGCGTAATTTCATCAATTTTATCGCAATTACACAAAATTTTTGCATTATTCGATAAAAAAGATGATTCATGTAATATATGAAAAATGTTTACAAAAGATCTGACTTGCTAGATAATCAATTGATAAAAGAGTTTAGATAACGATCATTTCGCGAATTCGATTAGAATACTCATCAGAAGTATTGTGCAATAGATATCTTTTAATTGCGAAAAGTTAGTTTTGTATGTAAAAACGTTCTACTGTAAAACAAAAGCAATTTGTAACGATACGGTTCACCGATGATTGTCCTACTTTTATTATCGTGCGTTTTATTTTATAAACGTATCAAAGATATTACGAATCTTCCTTCTTTCATTCGTGTCAGATCAAAATAACTTAAAAAAAATATTCATCTTCTACGAAATACTTAATCTTACGATTAACCTCATAAAATGTAATTCAATAGTTCTTCGCAGCATTGAAATTTATTTATAGATATCAAGATAATTCTATTTTATAAATAGATTGTCAAAGATCTCTGTGAAACGTTTGGATTATTGACGTAAATATAGTTATGTGTTTGAGAAAAAAAGCTTTATTTCAAAAAATGTTTGTATATGCATGCATAAATTAATAAATATTATTGAATGTTTCTAAGAAACGTATATGTTATACGTAATATGAGAAATATATTTCAATATATTAAGTTTAATTCCAAAAATATAATTATAAATAAAATGTATGCAAAAAAAAAAAATCCAAAAATAATATTTCTATATAATATTTCTTGATATAAAAGTAATTATTATTTTGTATCAAATATACAATGTATACAATGTCAATCAAATATATTATGTATATGCAATATAATTACATAGATTTATATAATTATATAATTGAAATTAACAAATTATAAAAAATGTTTTTTGGTTGTTTATTTTTTTAAATCTCGAGTATTTTTTCAATAAAAATTCTCGTTTATTTTAAGATTGGCAAATATTATTGTAAAAATATTATATTTAATGTTTACATATTAAATTTTTATTACTATATTATGTAAACAATAAATAAGATAAAATATTCTGCATCACGATTATATACATTTATTAGATATTTGAATAAAACAGTTATAAATATTAGTAAAATAAATCTAACTTTATAAGATATGATAGCAATCAAATGAAATCAACATATAAACTTATTCCACGAATTTTCATTATTTATTTTCATTATTAATTTTCAATAATTTTTGAAAATTTATTCAAAATAATGTTTTATAATGTAAATATATATTGAATAAATTTATATTTTATTTCGATTCTTTGACTTTTACATAAAAATAAAATATAATTGTATAAATTTTTTAATAAAAGCAATATAATAAAATCAAAAAACGATTTTGTAAATTGCAGTATCATCGGTGTGCAATTATAATTGGTTTAATCATCAATATTACTCGAACATAGACTTTGGTCCAATGTTCGATTATTAATAATTGTACATGATAAATAAATGCTTGAACGAAACTCATTGAAAATTAAAAAATGACTCGCGAAAACTTTTTTATTCGCTAAAGTGCGCACATGTCATTATATTACATAAAAAATAAAAAAAAAATTGATTATTAATTCAAATCAATAAAAATTAATTTCCATCCACCATTATAGAATATATTTTGTCATACATTTTCTACTAATTTTTTTTAAACGATAGTTATTTCCTACTTTTCTGAATCTACTTCTCAATTCTAAGCATTTCGCAACATCTAAAAATAATCTAACAAGAGATTTGCAAGAATCTTAAATATAGTTAAAGAAGAAGTTATTAATGATAAATCAAATAGTAGTATTCGTGTATTCAATAAAACTGAATTCGTTGATTCAAAAAACAATAACCTCAAAAAATATGAATTTTAAAATTACAAAATAAAAATTAATTTAAAAAAAAATATAGAAATTTTGAGATTTAAATTTTAAAATGTACGAATTGTGCACGTCGAAAGAAATTTCCACTAACGAAAAAAAAAGTTAATAGTCATCACAAAGATATACAATTTTTTTTTATCAAATATAATTAAATTTTGAAATGAAAAAAGAAAATTTAAAGTAAACATTATATAATTTACAAAATATCAACGTAATTTATAACGCATGGTAATGTCAATTAGTGTGTGCACCGGATTGGAAAATCTTACTTCGAAAATTTCCTAGCATTTCCTGCTATAAACTACGCATCAACTATCTCTATGTTTATTTATTCCAGTTTTTGCAA